AGTGACTTCAGTTCAATACATTTAAATATGTTTTAAACATACACAAAAATTTAGTGTTGTACGCACATACAGACACCATATCTTTTTGTGAAAAGATTGATTCAGGTCTCTCATGATGGGCAGGAGCATCTCAAATGCCACAAAGGCTGTTTGGATGAGGGTGGAGCTATAAGCTACACAAACTTAGGGTGATAATAGCTAGAAAGAATGCCTTTCTGACTTGGGAAGTTCCCTCACCTCAGTGGTCTGTTCTGCCTCACAAGTTTTCCTGTCCAAGCACAAACCAGACTCAACACTGATGAATAAAAAAGTGTGGCATGCACAGAATAATCTAGAAGATACAAAAAAAATCTGGGAAGTTTTCCATAAGATCATGAAGTATACCTGCATGGAACGTCCTGTAGGATTAAATAACAAAGAAAGTAGTTTTTGTTGCTGCTGACGGAGCAAATGTTCCCTTTTGGAGGGAGGGGGAGGATTTTAGCATATTGCTTGTGGAAACATAATTATCCAAACACTACTTGGGAGAGGAGGGGATGGACCTGAACAGAGTTGGAACATGTTTTTTTTTTTTTTTTCTAATTAATTGCAGTAATTGTAAAAAAATAATTGTCTATATGTTAAATTATGTATCCTTCTTTGCCCTTACACCTCTGACTCAAATGAATTCCGATTTCATGTGAATATGAAGAAATGTCAGCCTGGTTATTAGTTTTAATATTGGGGCATTCTTTAATTTTCCAGCAAGTAGAAATACTTGTTTCTCCTGTGACTAAATATATTAGCCTATGTGCAATACACCTTTACTCTCCTTCCCACGCTCTTACCATATAAAAGAAACAAGCAGTTTTGTACCTTACCTAACACTTGGAAAAAACAAAACTTTTTATAAATCCACTGCTTTTGATCCACTTCTCCTACTTTCACCTTCTTTTTATTTTCTGCTTATATGCATTATTTTAGGCATAATGTATCCTTTTTTTTTGTTGACTTCTCTTGCTGCTTTATAGACATGTACAGACCTACATTACTTCGTATTTTCACTTTTTTTCTGCCCAAAGCTTTATTTATTCTTCTTAAGTTTATAACCACCTGTTGATCTTAATATCCATATAGTCATCCAGTCAGCCATATACAACTGCCCTAACGTATGTGCCTGGCCATTTTTTCCTAAAAGTTAGAAATTCTTACTTCCAAGCCTACCCTCAAACTATTGGGAAAAGTTTGTAGCTCCTACGTTGTTCTTTTACAGTGGCCTTCTAGCAGCTACTGCAAGGAAGTGCTCTGAGGGTGGCTGACCGCTGAAACCCTGATTTAGGCTGGCTTAGGTTGATGCAGAATTTCACCTTTTTTCTACCCTAACTTGCTCTGACATCCAGGAACGGAGGGAACAGGACCTATCACCCTGCGAAGTTCTAGATTTGATAGACAAACATAAGGCACTCTGGCATGCAGGGTCCTTTAAAAATGCTATTGTAGCTTATCTCAATAAATAAATCAAAAGCTGCTGGGTGAAAAGTTTGGCCTCTCCTTTTCTGATAGTCCAGTAGTTAGAGGGCTTGCCCATACCTCAAATGAATTTATTTTTTGGCCTGGGAAGATTAAAATATATACATTGTATTTCCCAGGAGAGGGTTGTAACTATCTGGAAAGCTTAACTGTTTAAGCTTTGGATTCGGCTGGATGGACATGCAACATTTAGGTACGAAGTAGCTAGAGTCCCTGAAAATTCAGTGACTAAAAAGATAAAAAGTATCTAACTTGTCTTTTATTGGGTCCTACCCTTTTCTTATTTCTCCCATCCACATAGGAGAAAGTGTCTGAAATCATAAGGGAGTTTTATTTTTACTAATTGGACAGACAAGTGAATTGATTAAATTAGTAGCCAAAATACATCAGTCTTCCCTTTAAACGTATGTATTTTTATTTATTAATTGGTACTTTTTACTACTTATTAATCTTTCTTCCCCTCCCTTAGCTATTTATTTTGGTATATCTTAGATCCTTCCCCATTCTTTTTCAGAACTCTTTGTTCCTGGCTCTGCTTTGCTGTTTAAGCCTTCGTGAATCACATTGTCTCTCATGAAATAGAGATACTTGCCTACATGTAAGATATCATTTATATAGTAGCTTGGGGTTAAGAGGTGTTACTAAAGCATTACATAGAGATAGTAGAGGAAGATGCCTGTTAAGACAGATCTACTGTTACATCTGTACATCTACTGTTAAGTTTTACATGAAAGTCATTTGCTTTTCAGAGTGTAAAAAATGGATTTGGCCAACCATGGACTTATTCTGCTGCAGCAGCTAAATGCTCAGAGAGAGTTTGGTTTCCTATGTGACTGCACAGTTGCTATTGGTGATGTCTACTTCAAGGCACACAAATCTGTCCTTGCTTCTTTCTCCAACTACTTTAAGATGTTGTTTGTTCATCAAACCAGGTAACTATAAAAAGGTTAACTGTTAAAATGTTGCTTAGTTAGCTAAGGTAAGAAGGTCTAGCAACATTTTGAAACCTTCTGAAATGTTCTTTTTGCTTCTTGCTACAACATACAATGAATCTGGAATCTGTTCCTGCTTGCAAACTGGAAACTCAGTGATTCATTAGCAATAATGTTATAAATTAGCAAATGCTATTTATCTTTCAAAAACATAGAGTGCCTAGAAGTGAATATTAAAGGGATCCTGTCTTTTCACTGTTGCACTTTTTTTTCCTCCACTCCTATCCTCTGCCCAGTCTTGGCACTATTCCTGATGTTTCTGTAACATTATATACAATCTAATAAGTTTTTGCTAGGAGATCTGGAGAAATAAACATGTAAAAGATGGTAATCTGTTTTAGTTTTGGGTTTTTTTTTTTTAAAGTTTACCAAAGTAAATTAAATAATGAAATATTATATAGTGGTGGAAAATATGGGAATTTTTTGTTTGGTTTGGTTTGGGATTTTTTTGCAGACAGCTTAACATAGTGGGCATGGAAAAGATAAAGAAAATGACTATTTTGAAGATTTTTTGTTACTTTTTTTCTCAATTATTTGAATTTGCTCAAATACTTTATAGTAAGTGAGCAAATGCTAAGAGTTCTTAGCCAAAAGTAAAAGTCAAGGTCAAAGGCACATATGCACTTCTGAGACAGGTCTGCAGGTAGATATGAAAGTCTTAGTGCTCTGTCAAGAGCATACAGTCATCTCTGGAGGACAGCATCGCAAAAATTTACATCTGAATAATATATCTTGAGTTCAAAAGCAGTCAGAGGGATAGCTCAAGAAGGATGCACCTCAATTAAGAAATGGAAGAATTGGCTATAATTTCCTCCTCAGCTTAGTAGCCTACTGTGGTTAGACCATTCAGCAGTGTGGGGTCATGTCTATTTCTGGATTTCTTCTTTTATTTAATGTTTGTTTAATGTAAGAGCTAAAATAACTCTGAGAAAAACAGTTAGAATCCCAAATTCTCTCATGTCTCACGGCTAAATGTCCTAACCAAGATATTCCTGATTTTCTTTCCTGTTCCATGAATCGTGCCTTTCTTTCTACACAAAGACTAGGCTTCCATGGAGGAGTGGTGGGTGTTTCAGTCCAGAGTATCCTAAAAGCTTGATGGATAGGGCATGCTCCCAATAAGAGGATGGTGTTGGTTTGAATTCTCTTAGGCTGAAGGAGGCATTACAACCCAAGTGTCTCACTTAGCTGGGTGCTCCAACCAAGAGGCTGTTAGGCTGACTGAGCATACCACTGGTACTACCTTTCTTCCCCCCTGATCAGGAAAAGAAGCTACTATTCTGCTTCATGACAAGTCTGGCCTTCATGCGTTAGATGTGCTCAGACTATACCTGTTGTATCAGATCCGTAGGGAATTCACCTGCTCTCCTGTGTAGTTTCTGGATCAGAACGCAATTTAGACAAGGTGATACTGAACATTTACAAAAGTGTAACTGTAAACACAAGTGCGACACAGAAGCCAAAGAGGCAAGGCCAAATTAATTTTAGGTGCTTTCAGGGCTAAGAGCTGAGAAAAGTTTAATGGATTGTGAATTTAGACTCACTGGAAGCTCTTAATTTAGCTACAGACCTGTTTAAATCCAACAAAAAATGGCAAAAAAGCTTCACAATTTCCAAAATATATTAATATGTGACAACAATTCTATAACATGACAGCAATTCAAAAAGTTATAGATTGCAGTGGGACGGCTTTATCTTTCAAGCCAGTTACTTTCCTCCGGAAAACAAAATGTTATCTTTAAAGTAGCCGATAGGATTAGCTCTTTTATATCAGAGCATTTCTCTACTGATGGAACATACCCTCTCTTTTTAAGTAACACTGACTGTTGCTGGAAATGACGCTTAGTAGAAACTTCAGAGCGCAACGTATATGTGATAACGGTTTTCCCATCGTTACTGAAAATGACAAATATCACTTCATTTCCCCGTTAAGAATGTGTTAACATATTACAGACCGATCAGCAACTGCTGGTATCCTATTCCAGCTAGTAGAGTGGGGATGTTTCATTAAGCAAACATATTTATTACAGAGTCTGTCTTTTGAATTTAAGCAATGTGTCTGATTTTTATTAGTGTTTTCATAACCTAGATCTGGTTTAAAAGTTTTTTCTTATCTCTTATTGATTATTTTGTTTCACATTTCAGTGAATGTGTCCGTTTGAAAGCAACTGACATACAGCCAGATATCTTCAGTTATCTCTTGCATTTGATGTACACTGGGAAGATGGCACCGCAACTCATTGACCCCGTTCGACTAGAACAGGGAATAAAGTTTCTGCATGCATATCCACTAATTCAAGAGGCCAGCCTTGCAAGTCAAGGAACTTTTTCTCACCCGGATCAAGTTTTTCCATTAGCATCTTCATTATATGGCATTCAGATTGCCGATCACCAGATAAGACATCCCACTAAGGTTACATCAGCAACTGACAAACTCGGGCGAGAACCGAGGCCACAGACTTCACGGATGAACCAGGAGCAGGTTTCCGAGGGCTCACAGCTCTCACAGCTAGCTACAACTCTGCCACAAGTGACCCGGACAAATATGACCACTTCTGACCCATTGCCATCATCTTTATCTCCAGAACTGGTATCTGCTGCTGGCAATAATTCACCCACAGGAGAAGAAGCCAACATGGAAGCATCTTCTTCGGATGAACAGCCTGCTTCACTCACGATAGCACACGTCAAGCCAAGTATTATGAAAAGGAACGGAAGCTTCCCCAAATACTATGCCTGCCACCTCTGTGGCCGCCGATTCAATTTGCGAAGTAGCTTGCGTGAGCACCTCCAGATCCACACAGGAGTTCCCTTCACCTCTTCCCAGCAGGGAGAAAGCAACATTTCTTTGTCTCTCTGTAACAACACAGCTGAAAAAGATGCCATGGAAGTGCCTGAAGCTGGAATGATTAGTGACAGTGAGCTGCAGCAGATCTCAGACTCCCCAATAATTGATGGGCAGCAGCAATCAGAGACACCACCCCCCTCAGATATTGCAGACATAGACAACTTGGAGCAGGCAGATCAAGAGAGGGAAGTAAAAAGACGGAAATATGAATGTTCCATTTGTGGTCGCAAATTTATTCAGAAAAGCCACTGGAGGGAGCACATGTACATACACACTGGCAAACCTTTCAAGTGCAGCACTTGCGACAAAAGCTTTTGTAGGGCTAACCAGGCTGCCAGACATGTGTGCCTAAACCAGAGCATGGACACGTACACGATGGTGGACAAACAGACTCTGGAGCTCTGTACTTTTGAGGAAGGCAGTCAAATGGACAACATGCTAGTACAGACCAACAAGCCCTACAAATGTAACTTGTGTGACAAAACGTTTTCAACTCCCAATGAAGTGGTTAAACATTCGTGCCAAAATCAAAACTCTGTCTTTACACTAGAGGAAGATCGCTCCATTCTGCTAGGTAGTGGGGACACAGAAGCCACAGAGACTGATAATTCAGTGTTAGCCTCCATCAAAAAGGAGCAGGAAGCAGTGTTGTTAGACTGAATGTGAAACCTATATCAATTTTTTAAAGTTTCTTTATTCATTTTTATTAAATCAACTTTTTCCTCCCCTTTCTTACCTCACTTCCCCCCGCCATCTTTTCTACCATCCTCCTTCCGACCCTTTGTCTTCAGCAACCAGAACTGTACTGGCACATTAGGAAATTGGACTTTGCCTCTCCCACCAAAACAAACAAAAAGCTCTAGCATCAAACCACAACATAATTGATTTTAATACAAAGGAACGTGTTAAAAAATAATCCAGCTAACTATGTTGATAGTATTAGTTAATCCAAATTTAATAGATTTTAAACAAAGTTTAGGTTACTTAAAAGCAGATTTAAATACAATGATGAGTGTAATGAGAGCTCATGAGTATGGTGAGCAAAGACTATATGTATTAGTTTCCCTGGTAAAAGGCATTTTGAGAAGATCTGGCAAATCAAACTCCATGTGCAAGTTAATTAAGATTATAACTTACAAAAGAAACCTCAGAATTTTTTTCAATGAATCCAAGAAACTGTTCATTGAGTAAAAAAGAGATGAGGGTGTTGGCGTTTTTTTTGCCGTGTGTTTTCCTTCAAGTATGCCTTTGTGTATCTGTTTCAGCTAGCATCATTGATTGAAGCAAAGTAGTTACTTAGTCAAATTATGACTCAAGTAGCTGTAATAATAATGTGATGGCAATCTTTATATATATATAAAAATACTGTATATGTATAAAGATTTATAGAGAGAGAGAAAGTGTTTGTGTGTATATTTGGTACAGGTAAATAAATGCACACATCTTTTTTAAGCACCTGGCCATCTGCTTTCAGATTCAACCCAAAAGGTCTTTTAGTTGTTTGACAGAACTAGTCATTGCACAGATTGCTTTTAACCAAATTTAAAATGTCCTGAGCTGTGTGCATTTTTATTGACCTGTTGAAAAGAAGCTAATGTGGTAAGTGTTGTCACACAAGATACAAAGGGAACTAGAGAAGTGACATACTGGTGAGCCCTGTACCATCACTGGTGCAGCACGCGCATGTGGTGGTAGCATAGTTTTGAGTCATTCTGGATGAACGGAGAGAGAAGAAACTTTATTGCCTTACTCAGGCAAGGAATGTCCATGATTTCATTTGGTCTAATTGCAAGAGCTAAGATGAAGAAAAAGTAGTACAGAGACCTACGAGCAACAGGGGATCATGGTTGTTTTAAAGTGAATCTGTAGTCCTGAACTGGCGAATTTTGCTCTTAGAGAGTCCCATTATTTTCAAAGCCAAGACAAAGTCTGCAAAAACTGAAAGAATGAATTGTGTAGTTTTAGTTACTGCTATCGATAGCACTGCATCTTTGTGTTTAAAATCAAGTTGTTGATTCTTATTATTTTATATAAATGCCCGGAATTTTTGCCAGTAGCCTAAAACTCTAAACTGATAGCAGCACTGAGGCCCACGAACAATTCTTGGGCCAACAGAAGGCTGCAGCAGACAGAATAAGCGCCCCATCATAAATGGAGACAGTGTGTGTTTTGGGGGGAGGGATGGGAGAGGGCAAGTCACAAACCACAGCTCTACTCTGTGTATACGTTTAAACTGAATATCATCTTTTTGTGTATAGTTAAGTTCTCAGATTTGTAAGTTTTTATACATCATTTCATTGAATAAAAACTGAATTAAATGGGATGTGATTTATTGAGTTGAAGATGAAAGGTTCTTGAATTTTGATCCTTCTAAAAGAACTCTGACTGAATCAGTTTAAAAGCCAAGCAGTATATTCTGTATATCAGAGTAAAACCTCCTTCATATAGGAACAGAATATACCTTACTAAAGCCTAAAACAATGGATTTAGCACAAAGGGTCACTACACATTTCTGAAGCTTATTACAAGATGATAATTATTGTAAAGTTTACTATAAGTGCTGTTGAGTTGATTATCTGTATCGTCTTAGAGTAAAAGATTTAAAATCAATTGATTTTACTTCAAAGTATAAAAATGTAAAAAAAAAAAAATCTTACTGAATTATTTTAGCGTTGCCTATTTTAAAACCTTTTTTAGAATCTTCATCTACCAATGTAATTTCTCTAAATATGTTCTTATCTCACTAAGTCTGAAATGCGCTCAGAGCAGGGGGAGGAAGGAAATCATTCCTTATTTAGGGTATGGTCAGGGTTTTGAAGTTGCTGTGGTTTAGGGGAGAGATGTAAGTTCATTTCCAAAATGACTACAGCTGCGAAAGGTGTTGCCACCTCAGCTATTGGTTACTGTTTAGTCAGATGATCTTTTAAGAACTCCAGGTGTGCTCCTATGCTCCTGGCTTAGTTCACCAGGTGACTGGTTATATCGCAAGTGTACGTGTGGCCACACTGCTTTATGTTAGACACTCAGCAGCCCCTAGTTTTTACCGTGTTCCTGCTATCACCTCTTCTTCTCCACTGTTTGGAGAACGTGTTTGCTCAGTTACATGTTGAGTGGGCTCAGTGAACTGATTCCACTGAAAAGTGACCAGTCTAGAAAAAAAATGCTGTTTTTCAGTCAAGTCAGTTCCCTATTTTAGCTCTGCAGAGGGTTACACATGACTCATTGTTGTGCAAGGGCAGGAATGAGCAGACAGGAGACTCGCTGAAGCCAGTGTTGTGGCTGAAGATGTCTGCAGCAAAGAGGGAGGAAGCAATAGGTCCCATTTGGGCAGGTCCCTCCTCTGGTGGGCGGTGTGGCCTTGCAAACTTAGGCACGGGCACAAAAAGAAGGTGCTGCGTAGGACAGGAAACAAGTAGCCAGGAGCAGAGGTTGGTTATGGCAGCGCTGCTGCTGCGAGAAAAATTATATTGCAGGCTCAACAGAGATACCCGCACCCACTAAAATTCTTTCTTAAGAACTAACACTATCTGGAAAAGAAACAAATAATTTTGCAATAAAGAGACTATTTTGATATATGTTCAGCTATTATACTAGTTTATTTTAAATATGCTTTATTGTCTGATGCTCCATAATGATGTTTAAGTCATTGTCTCTCTCTGCTTGGGAAGTTTTGTTCTTCCACAATGAATTAGGAACATTCTAGAAGGCAGGATCACTATATTTTGGTAAAAAATAGTTTCCAGGTTATTACAGCCCCACGAAGAATTTGGGTACTATATCCTTATAGCAAGCACAACTATAGTTCTATTCAAGCATCTTTGTTAAATCCTATCTGAATTAGTATTACAGTCAGAGAAAACTTCAAGTTTTATCTTTAATCTTCTAACCCAGAAGGTTATGGCTGAATTATTCATTCAGTCTGCTCACTTGGTGAAGTTGAGAATATTCTATAAAATTAAAGAAGACAAGTTTGCAGGAACTATTGAATAATCTGAGGGAAGCATGCCATCTGAGCACAATCCTGTGCAACGTACTCTAGGTGACCCTGCTTGAGCAGGGGGTTTGGACTAGGTGATCTCCAGAGGTCCCTTCCAACCTCAACTGTTCTGTGTGATTCTGTGATCATTCAAGCCTGGAACTTATCCCCAATATGTTTACAAAGGAAATACATTAACTTCAAAGTTAATTCCCCTGGCATGTCACTTAGTAAGATACCTCTGCCTTCGCCTCAGAAGTACTAAGCACCTACAAATCCAGGTGTATTTGGTCAATAGAAAGAACAGGTAATTATCATCTCTGACAGCTAAGATAGTCCACTACAAAAAAAAAAACAAAAAAGTTTTTTTGTCAACTTTGTATTGAACATCTTTTTTTGGTCATTGGTCTGATAATCATTCTGCTTCTTCACGGGGAGAATTAGAAAATGTTAGTGTTACAAATACTGAATATTTTAAGGTATGTTCATATTTACATTTTAGGGTCTTAGGTTGTTGTCTTGATTTTTAGAATATCTGCTTTTCAGCTCTTCAACTCCAAATCACCTAAAATAATAGCTTTAGTCACAAAAAAAGCAATTTATTTGTATTAGCTTTAAATAACTGTTTGGCATTGCAAAATCTTTTAAAAGTAATTAAAACCATATGAAATACAGCTAAACAAGTGCAGGTGCTAGGATGTCCTGGGACATCACAATTGCAATGTTTTTCCCAAGCTGCTTGACAGCAGCATGTTATGTTTTTAGGTATTTCTGCCTTTTTGGAGAGTAACGTCTTTTAGTTATCTTCAACATAAGCTATTGGGGACTAACATGATCCATTATTAATTCAGCTAAAGTATGTTTAGATCATTGTTTTTGCATGCCTTTTAATCTTCAAAAAGCAAATACAACTAAAGAGGAACTCATTGTGAAGTAAGTTGGGAGTTCAGTCAGCTACTCTGTGATTTATTGCTCCATCAAAGGCAACAATGTTTCCATAGCGCAAGCTACTTCATGGCTGTGAATGATTAGGAGTATTCAGGCTCCTTAAAACAAATTCCATTTAACATGCCTATTTCAGCACTGTAAATGTTATATTATTAGTAAATGTTACACTATTAATTAGTTCTAGCATTATATCTTAATAATGGAATGTACCTCATAAGCTAGTAGTGGTGCTAAAAGCTGTCTGTTTAAAAAAAAAGAAAACAGCTTTGTCCTACCCAAGGCAGTACGTTTCCATTGTAGTTTTGTTCACTAATTTTTGGTTATAAACATGCCTGTTGTTGTCCCTCGATCATAGAATCCCAGTCATACCAAGATGAGAACAAAATGTAGACAGAAAGGAGTTTTTTGCAGCCTGCCTCATGACTGTATTTTTCCCAAGTGATCTATGATCACTTCTAGAAGTGAGAGAAACTCACTGCCCTTAAATATGGGCTTCTATCAAGTCTGCTATTAAAAAGAAAATATCTTTACGGAACTTAGCCAAAACAACCACATTCCCTTCCTTGGTAGTATAGACTTGCTGCCATGCAAGGTGAAAAATGTTCTCTCTCAGTTCCTCCAGAATTTCGGTCAAGTACCTGCAGGAGCATTATCTTAATGGCTTCTTCCTCTCCCTTTTTATGCCACTGCTCAGCTAACTTTAGCCATTTCCCTGTTTGCTGTACTAGAAAATAAAATTTAAAAGTGTCCATGTTCCAGTTTAGTATAAACTCGAGAGATAACAAACTTTATTACTCCTTGGTATAGCAGTCTTTCTTATTAGCTAAAGACCATTAGCTCCTAGACCATGCTGGATTTCCACAGAGCTTGCACCATTCCTAATTTGTGCATTTGTACTGATCACACACACTCTGTCTGTGCCCCCGATTTGCATCCAGTGGTAGCAGAGAGGGAGGCAGCACCAGAAAGGTCCATTTGGAAAGAAATGGTTTCCGTTCAAGCAGAAGATGCAGGACACCGACTCGGTTGGTGCTGCATCAGTGTGGAGACAGGGACTAGCCTAGGAACTGTTCTGATGACAAATCTACATTGCTTTGATCCTGCATTGTGGCTCTGCTGCATCTTAGATTTAACTCTGAGAGTACTTGGTATTATAAGTGAAGTGAACCACTACATTTCAGTTCTGTCTCATTCAGAGTCCTCGCTTTCATAAACAGGTTTGATTGATGAACTCAGATGCAGGGGGGAAAATGTACCTAAACCCCTGCACCTGCAAACTTGGTGCCAGGTAATACTAAGTTTAATTTCTTTGGCAAGCTCAAAAAAAGCCCTGCTAAATATTGCTCCAGACATTCACAACAGTGAAAGACAAAAGTGTCTATTAGCTGTTATTTGCCAAACTGGGAGGCACAGCACCAGAGGTTTGAAGAGGTCCAAGAGCTCGCTGGAGGCCTATGAGGTATTCAAGCAGGCAGTTACTTCCATCTGTGCCATACTAATTGCAACCAAGACAGAAGGAGTATCAACAGATGAGTGGGAGCTCTGGACAAAATAAATAAGCAGAGGTTGCACTAGCTCAGCTATATGATGTCCTATGAAGACTCTCATGTGTGAAGCAATAAGCAAATGCTTTTGCAGTCACATATTTTGGCAGGTTTGTGTTCACATCCACTATTTCGCTTTTCTCTGGAGTCAGTAAAGCCAGATATCTCTTTTACATCCTAGAAGTTTTCATCTTCCAGTTGAGGCAGAACAAATATATTCTCTAATACTTCTCCAGTGGACTTTGTGTATCAGTGCAAAGCTCAGAGCCATGGCTGTGATTCCTTCCCTTTTATGGTGGAGAACTTCTGTCAGAAATTTGTATTACGAACACATTCAGTCTTACAGTCTTGATAGAATCAATCAACCACTCTCAAGTGCTATAGGCTAGGATTGCTCAGTTTTATACTTGTGGGTTATTTATGTTCCATAAGAAAAAAAGAATGTGTTTGCAAAATTCTCACAAGCAAAAATAAAGCCCATATAGTCACATGTTCTTATTCAGTTAGTAAAGAGAAATCAGTCCTGGAAGCAACTTTAGTTAGGACCCCGTTTTTGGTCTGCTGTCACAGCCTGCAGGCAAGCACATTGGCTTGTTTGCATAGACAACTAGGAAATAGAATGATTAAAAGAAATTCTGTATCACTGTGCAATTTCAATAGTTGAGGAGCATTCCTATAAGCTGTCTAGAAGAGAAGGTCACAGGATAGACAGCCATGAGTTTCAGTAAATGTGACTACTCCTTTCCAAAGAGTGCAGGAAAGATATAGCATGAAGAACATTTACTCTATCTTTTTAACTGAAATCTCACGTGCAGTGATAATTAAGATTATTAAATAGTATTTTATGTGATTA